TGAGATGCAGGGGGATATATACATAAATGATTTGATTGGCATTTCTTTACTTAGTTTTTATTTGTCTTTTGACAAAATATGTTTTTTTATGGTTTTTAACTATAGCACATATTTTATATTTTTTTCATTTATTTTTTGAGATTTTACGTGTTTTTCATTAGAGAGAAACTTTCAATAAGAAAGAAAAAATGTGGAAACTGAGAATTTAAAAGTTATTAAACAACAACTGACCTTAAATATGAGGAAACGGGTCAAAGAAAAAGAGGAAACCGATCAACAAACTGGGAATTTTACAACCTTTCCTGAAAACCGGAAACAGACTCAAAAAATGAGGAAACGGGCCCCAAAAAAGAGGAAACCGATCAACAAATTGAGAATTAAAAACTTTTTTTGAAAACCGGAAACAGACCCAAAAAATGAGGAAACGGGCCCCAAAAATGAGGAAACCGATCAACAAATTGAGAATTTAAAACTTTTTTTGAAAATCGGAAACGGACCCCGAAAAAGAGGAAATGGACCAAAAAAGAGAAAATCGACCCAAAACAGAGGAAACCAATCAACAAAATGAGAACTTAAAACTTTTCTTGAAAACCGGAAACAGACCCAAAAAAAAGGATACGGGCCCCAAAAAAGAGGAAACCGATCACCAAACTGAGGATTTAAAACTTTTTTTGAAAACCGGAAACAGACCTAAAAAACGGGAAACGAGTCAAATGTAATTATAGCAGAAACCAATCCAAAATATTCGGAAATCCCTCAACACTTTTCAGTTTATGAGGGATTTCCGATAATTCCTGAAAAAAGAAGGAAACGGACCCAAACTCACTTTTGGGTCCGTTTCCATGTTTCCAGCTCTATTCATTTTCAGTTTTATCAGTCTAAATTCTCCCTTGTTCATTATCTAGATCTGTAAGCTGCTCCGTAACATCAAATTTTAGAAACTTCATCTCAGTGTTCAGAAAATTTCGATTTAAAGAGGTTTCCCAGATTTTCTAATTTGTTCTCTGGTTTATAAATGCGTTTTGGATTGTTCAGAACAATTTCTTGAATATATTTTATATTGATGTTCACATCTATCAATTTAATATTGTAAAAGTTGGATTTATTTTTTATATAGTTGTATGTGTCCATCGAATATTTTTAATTTTACTAAAAATAAACTATAAATATTTTTCGTCCATTGTAATATATATCTATCTATCTATCTATCTATCTATCTATCTATCTATTTATCCATCAATCTATCTATCTATCTATCTATCTATCTATCTATCTATCTATCTATCTATCTATCTATCTATCTATCTATCTATCTATCTATCTATGTATCTATGAATCTGTGCACCCTAGAATCCCACAGATGTGCACCACGTTAATGCCCTCCTGCTTCAACCAGAAATATAAATTCCTTCAGGGTTGAACCGTGTTGTGCCTTTTAAATGGTTGCGGGGGGGGGGGTGAGGGTCCAGTTTTGTAGATTTTAAAATTGCTTTTACTGCCCGAAAATTCTCCTTTTAAGTTTAACCAAACTATTTCTTTTAAAAACTATTCCTCCCCGTCTCCTCCTTCTCTCGTCTACGTATGCGTACATCTATAAGTTTTGAATATAAACATGCGTAAAAGTAAACCAGTCATCCCCCACCCCTTCCCCTTCCTGAGGGTAACACCCCCCCTTACACCCACTCATCTATAGATACTAGACACTCAAGTTAGAGTTAGTCTAGAATAGACAAGACACAGTGATGAAGGAAGTAAAATGGAAAAGTGAAAGATGTAGTAGATTAATAAAGAGAAAAGTATGGAGTGATGAAGGAAGTGAAAAGAAAAGTGAAAAATGAAGAAGATTATTAAAGAGAAAAGTATGGAGGGATGAAGGAAGTAAAAGGAAAAGTGAAAAATGGAGTAGATTATTAAAGAGAAAAGTATGGAGTGATGAAGGAAGTGAAAAGAAAAGTGAAAAATGAAGAAGATTATTAAAGAGAAAAGTATGGAGGGATGAAGGAAGTAAAGAAAAGTGAAAAATGAAGTAAATTAATAAAGAGAAAAGTATGGAGTGATGAAGGAAGTGAAAGGAAAAGTGAAAGATAAAGTAGATTAAAACAAAGAAAAGTATGGAGTGATAAAGGAAGTGAAAGGAAAAGTAAAAGATAAAGTAGATTAAAACAAAAAAAGTATGGAGTTATGAAGGAAGTGAAAGAAAAAGTGAAAGATAAAGTAGATTAAAACAAGGAAGAGTATGGAGTGATGAAGGAAGTGAAAGGAAAGTGAAAGAAAAAGTAGATTAAAACAAAGAAGAGTATGGAGTGATGAAGGAAGTGAAAGGAAAGTGAAAGATAAAGTAGATTAAAACAAAGAAAAGTATGGAGTGATGAAGGAAGTGAAAGGAAAAGTGAAAAATGAAGTAAATTAATAAAGAGAAAAGTATGGAGTGATGAAGGAAGTGAAAGGAAAAGTGAAAGATAAAGTAGATTAAAACAAAAACAAAGTATGGAGTTATGAAGGAAGTGAAAGGAAAAGTGAAAGATAAGTAGATTAAAACAAAGAAAAGTATGGAGTGATGAAGGAAGTGAAAGGAAAAGTGAAAGATGAAGTAGATTAATAAAGAGAACAGTATGGTGTGATGAAGAAGTGAAAGGAAAAGTGAAAGATAAAGTAGATTAATAAAGAGAACAGTATGGTGTGATGAAGGAAGTGAAAGGAAAAGTGAAAGATGAAGTAGATTAAATCAAAGAAAAGTATGGTGTGATGAAGGAAGTGAAAAGAAAAGTGAAAGATAAAGTAGATTAATAAAGAGAAAAGTATGGAGGAACAGTTAGAGGAAACAAAGTGGACTGAGGGAAATGCTAGGAGAGATAATTGAAATAGAAGGAAAGAAAAAGGAAATATGAAGTAAAGAAAAAGGAAAATGGAAGGAAAGATGAAGGAAGTATGAAGTAAAGATAAAGTGAAGAGGAAGTAAAGATAAAGGGAAGAGGAAGTAAAGATAAAGGGAAGAGGAAGGAAAGATGAATGATAAAGAAATGAAAGAGGAAGGAAAGAGGAATGATAGAGAAAGGAACGAGTAATGATGGAGAAAGGAAAGAGGAAGGAAAGATGAAGGAAAAAGGAAGGAAAGATAAAGGAAAGAGGAAGGAAAGATAAAGGAAAGAGGAAGGAAAGAGAAAGGAAAGAGGAAGGAAAGAGGAAGGAAAGATAAAGGAAAGAGGAAGGAAATATAAAGGAAAGAGGAAGGAAAGAGGAAGGAAAGAGGAAGGAAAGAGGAAGGAAAGATAAAGGAAAGAGGAAGGAAATATAAAGGAAAGAGGAAGGAAAGAGGAAGGAAAGATAAAGGAAAGAGGAAGGAAATATAAAGGAAAGAGGAAGGAAAGATGAAGGAAAGATAATGGAAAGAGGAAGGAAATATAAAGGAAAGAAAAAGGAAAGAAGAAGGAAAGATAAAGGAAAGAGGAAGAAAAGATAAAAGAAATAGGAAAGAATAAGGAGAAAGGAAAACAAGAGGAAAAAAAAAAAAATTCCGGTTTGGGACTCAAAAGTCACGTGGAAAGAGAAAAATGGTCGGAAATACAAATTTTATTACTTAATGCCGGAAATAAACATTTTATTACTTAATGCCGGAAATAAACATTTTATTACTTAATGCCGGAAATAAATATTTTATTACTTAATGCCGGAAATACACATTTTATTACTTAATGCCGGAAATAAACATTTTTTTACTTAATGCCGGAAATAAACATTTTATTACTTAATGCCGGAAAATCATTTTGAAGAAAGCAAAAAGAAAGAAGGAAATACAAGTTTACAAGATTTTATGATTTTATATCGGAAATTCTGTGAAAATACTTTTCTTAAAAAATAATTTCTGATTAGAATGACTAGAAAAATAAATTATATTTATTTATACTTTAATTTAAACTCTGTTGAAATTCATGTAAAAGACCCTAAGAATGTATTTTAAAAAATGGAAATAAATATGCCTGAAACATTTGAGTCTGTGCCTCAACTCTGATTTTCTGTTATGTCACTTAATTACTTAATCTTTAAGTTTATGTATCAAAAGTGTACTGTACACCATCAGGATTCAAAGATATAGAATTAGAAAATTCCAGTTTGTGACAAAGGCTTATTTCCCTTGTAATAGGGAATAATGAATTAGGTTAAGTAAATTTGCTCAATGGACACATCTACATTTGTTTTCATAAAATAATGTCTCCTAGGTATGCCTTTTAACTTTTGTTCTTACTAAAACAACTGAAAGATAATCCAAGACATGTTGAGCTTATTATCTTATCCATTGAGCTTATTATCTTATCCATTAACAAAATCAATATTTAGCCCTTCTGTCTGACTCTCTTAGCTGTCTTGTTTCAGATTAAGAATGGGATATAAGGAGTTTAAACTTGAACTGCCAGCAGTAAAATCCTTCAAGATGAAGTTGATCTTCTTGGTTCACTTCACCCTGCTCTCCTGGGGGCTCCTGCATCCTTGGGCTCCAGAGGTAAACAGGGACGACCTTCGCTTCCAGAGCAGATGGGCCTTTAAAAGAATTTCTAAATATAGATAGATCATATTTTTTTCCAAAGGAATATTGAATAGGGCACCAAACGACCACCACTCTTGATCCCGGTGTCGTGCATCAGTTCATCCGCCCCTATTTATTTTAATCATTTCAAAACAATGTTAGTAATTAAAAAGCAAAGTTACAGTTTTCTAAATGTTAAGTTACCCTGATGAACAGTTTCTCAAATGTATAGTTTCACAAAGTTATAATTTCCCTAATGTGCAGTTTTCCTTATTTACAGTTTCCTAATTATAGTTTCCGTAACGTACAGTTTCTCAAATGCAAAATTTTCCAAGTGTACAGTTTCTGAAATGTAAATTTTCACATATGTAAAGTTTCCCAAGTGTACAGTTTTACAAATGTACGGTTTTCCAAACATGCCATCAGAATATGTGTAAACCAAACATATAAAATTAGCAAGAAGCAATATTTTTTTTCACTGTAAATTTTAGTAAAATATTCATAAGGAAAAGTATACAATGAAAATAACATAAAGATTTGGTAAAAGATAAGCTTAAGCTACAAATCTAAAAATTTTCAATTTTAAAAAGCTCTTCAAACAGAGAGTTATAAACAATACGCATTTGTCGCAGGATAATATTTGCTAAAACAAAACAAAAAACATGTTTTTTACATTTTTTCCAAAGTACTTTTGCAGATTTAAAAAAAATTTTTTTAACATCATACCACTGTATTTTGTTAGGTTTCCATATATTCCATATATTTTCTTATATGAAGAAATTTTTCTGAGTGAAAAATCTTCCAGTGAGAATCGTGAAACTCTGGAAAAGATTAATTTTAACAATCTTATTTGCTTTTGAGGTTGTTTTAAAGAAAAATTGGCTTACCACCAGAAGCATTAAGGTTACTTATCCAGTCAAATGTTCCGTTTGCATTTAATAAAACTATTTGTGTTCAGTTCAATTAAACTTTAAATAATTTTTAAACAAATCCCAACTTGTCTACTCTCTATTATTACTAGAATTATATAATTGTCTTCTCAATATTTCGCCAAAAACTTCATCAGAAGTTTGTCCAACAATATCACAGATATAAGCAAAAAAATTAAAAAATTCTTTTTAGACAATGAATATATAAAATAAATAGTAAAAACAAAACAACTTGAATAATCCAAGAAAAACAAACAAGAAAAATTGTGTAACCTTTACAATAAGGAATGTGTCAAATGAATAACGTCAAAACAAATAAAACTTAAAAAAGAAAAAACTGGAAAATTGTTCGTTACTCATTTGAAGAGATTTGAACGATCGACTGGAAAAGGATTGACTTAGAATTAATATAAAATTATTGTTTGATAAATTCAAAGTAAAACGATATTTGCGAGTAAACAACTTGTTTTGTGTTATCCCCTTCAATAATACATTTTAGAACTAAATGTACACTTATTTATGTAAACTAATAATTTTGAATTGCGTTAAAATAGTTAAACACAAGGGGATAGCCGGTAGGCTCTCCATGCAGGGTAGGTTCTCCATGCAAGACGCAACCAGCTGTAGTTTTCTTTTTATTATAGATATTGCAAGGTTTTGTACGGAAAAGTTTTTGCATACAGAAGTTTGACAGCTATGTCATAATTTCCATTTCTCAAAGTAAAGTTAGGGATAAGGGAGGAGTTTTGTTTTCAAACATTTTAATCAACATAAGTAAAAAGTTTTTGTTTTTAGTTTATAACACAATCTAAAATTTGATTAAGGTTACACTTATTGCATTAAGTTAATTGAAGAGTATGTAAATATTATTTTATATATACATATTTTTCACGATTAACATTTATTTTCTAAATGATAAAAAAATAAAAAAGTTATTCTGTGACAGAAACGAAAACGAAATGAATCTCTAGTTGTAAAGCTGTAAGATGGAAAAAGTTTTGATTTAAGCTTCCTCCGAGTCCTATTTGTTATGCTCAGCACAATACAGTGACATGGCACCGCCCTTTACAATTCTAAATTTTGTTTCTGTTATTGCACTCACCTCTGCCCCTTTAGTAGAAGTAAATTCAACCAATATGAACCATAAAGTCTGACCGTGTCAACCTTGCTGTACCGGCTAGTCCTGACCATAGAGTTATGTACAGTACAAACTGGGAACGGAAAGGTTGACCCGGCTTGGAAATTCAAATGTACTACGGCAGCCCATGATTGAACCATCCCTCTTAACAGGTCAAATGATTTATCAATTTGAAATCACATTTATACATTTAATAAACATAAAGTCCTTTTCATGTACTGACACTGTACAAATGTTTTTATAAGATTAAAATATTTGAAAAAATTATGACAATATTTCTCATTCATTAATATCTTTGAAATCGGTATTATAAAGTCCAAAAAGTTTTGCCTACATTTTTTACTTTTTATCTAAGTAAAAGTATTTATATTTCTTACACCGAACGTAGTGATCTCATCGCCCTACGACGTGAAATATTAGGTGTGATTAATTTCCATAGAATTTAATAAAACTGTTAGGATATTATTTTTTTTGTATGGATGACGTAGCTAGTTCATTCATTCACTGTGTATTAAACATATTAAATATTTTTAAATGATATTAATTTAATTTTTACTCATGTTCAGGCTTATGAGATGCAGGGGTATATTTTCCTCTTTTTGCTAATCTGGACACTTTTAGAGGTGAACTTTCAATTCATGAAATTTAAATTTTGTTCTAAACATTTGAATTTTATTTTAGACTGAAGGAGTTGAACATGTTTTAGTATGCCTAGCTGTGAATATAATTTCAATACTGTTAGGAAGGAATTTTACACTAAATTTCATTAACTTTAGGAAAAATGGATTAAATATTTGCCACGAACTCTGATTTTTTAACTTCTATATCTTTCTAACAATATATACGACCTTTGATTTTTCAAACCATGATTTCTGATCAAAAAATGTTGAATGTCAATTATTTTATTTTGAAATGTAGAAAGTTAAGATTTTCAGCTTCCAAGATATAGGGGTTAGTAAATTTGAGCTTGTTGCAAAAACTCTATTCCTTTGGACAAGATTTTCCTCATTTTCAAATTTTAAATTTTAAATTAAATTTAGATTTAAAATTTGGGTTGAACGGGACTATATAAAGGAAACATGAAAGGCTAAAACCTAAGCTAAAGGCTACAGATCTAAAATCTATATTTTTGAAAAGCCCTCGAAAACTACAAAAGTTATCGATCTTATATAATGAGCTGGTCTTGATAAATTGGGCTATGAACATGCATTTTAACCCTTTACCTTTTCTTTAGGTCTTTTTCTAGGGGGGGGGCGCGTGTGACGTCCCCCAGTCTATATATAGATTCAGACCCCCCAGCCTTTATAGGGTTAAAGGTTTGATTAAGATATGTTTAAGTCGACAATTTTTAAACTCTTTAAACTCTTACAGAATATACTTTAAACTCTTACAGAATATAATTTAAACTCTTACAGAATATACTTTAAACTCTTACAGAATATACTTTAAACTCTTCTCTTACAAAATATACTTTAAACTCTTACAGAATATACTTTAAACTCTTATAAAATATACTTTAAACTCTTACAGAATATACTTTAAACTCTTATAAAATATACTTTAAACTCTTACAGAATATAATTTAAACTCTTACAGAATATACTTTAAACTCTTACAGAATAATTTTTCTATCTTTTCGGCTTGAATATTTCTTAATAAGTAAAGTATAGGATGAAGCAAACCAAACCGCAGAAGCATTTGATTGTGTTTTTTTTTTAGATTTTGATTTAAATCATGAAACTTTTGTGAAATAAATGTTATCATTGAATATAAAAAGAGAATATAACTAAGGAATGAAATCAAAGTAACAAACTCAAATTTCTTATCCCTATATCTTTGTAACCTTATGGTGTAAACCTATGAAATTGCAAACTTAGATTATGTAATCTAACATATTTCATAGTTTAAAATATTAAAGGTCTTCGAAATTGGGTTGCAAAGATAAAGGAATTAGAAATTCAGAGTTTGTGGCAAAGACTGAAATCCATTGTCTTTAAATTATCTGTTATAAGTGCAGGGCTTTCTTTACTTCACATTAGTCTTATTCTTATTGGAACTATAGTACGACATTGGGAACCAAGATGTGCATTGTACAAGCTCTATCGCGAAAATTGAGCAGAATTAGGCCAACTACTACTTTTAAACTTAATCCAGAAATATTCACTTTTAAATTTTAAAATATATATGTAAAGGGCTGCACAAAAGTAGTCAGTTGATGAGGTATAACCTTAAAGGCCAAGGTGTAACGGCACTTTAAAGTAAAGACTGTCTAAACATTTGATAAATAATGTTTAGAGATGTCTAACTCTCAGTGACGAAGGTTTACCCGTTCAGTGTACTCTCGTATTGTTTCCGATTTGCTCGTACCAGCCCTTCTAGTTACCCAGGTGTTTTGCGGATTCAGCGCGTTTTATGCAAGCAATTTAGGCTGTCTGGGTACATAAGACTTGAGTTCATTCTGAGTATTCAAATCAAATGATCAGAGCTGAAAACTTTAGAATAAGATATCCTTAATCCCGATTACTTAATCTGAGTATCCAATGGACACACTTTTGATTTTCTTCTTAAACCCTTCTTTCTTAGATATAGAAGAGAAAAATCAAAAACCATTTTTTTTAATTTAAAAAGTCCCTCCCGCTTCTGCATATAATTTTAAATGGCGCGCAAAATTTCAAATTTATCGGCTTCAAATACGCGACTCTGATTGGTTGAATTTGGCACACTTTTCAGAATATAAGAACAAGATTAGGTTAGTCTCGATATTAAGAAAAAGAGAGTATCAAGCATTAATCTCAATGTCCACCATTGTAAAGTTTTCAGCTCTGGATTGATGAAAGGATTTTACAAACTTGAGAAGTTGAGATCTTGAGAAGTTAAGAAACCGAAAATCTAAAAGAGGTTAAACGTAAATTTGCTCAAATAGATGCAGACTGCTCTGCAAAGTTGCATCAATTTTATTACACTTACTCACACATACTTTTTTGTAGCCCAAGACATGTTGATGTACAATTTAGAATTTTAATATGGTCTTTGTTTTAAGAGTCAGGCCAGGCTAGGTTTGTTACATAAAACGTGCTGGGTCGATTTTATCCTGGGTAGTATACAGACTGAACAGTACGACTAAATGCATATACAGTACATGTTGTACCGGCTCAGATAATGAAACTTTCAGAGTGTGAGAGTTAGTGATTTATAGATAAATACTTTTAGAAGATAGAATTGCTGTATTTTGATATTTTTGCTGAAATATTGTAAAAATATTTTGTTGTAAAATTCTTGTTATTTAGATATTATTATCATTGCAATCTACTTCCCAAGGTAATAGCTCTTTAAAAAATCAAAAATGTAATATTTTTTTTAAGGCACCGATTAAATAAATTATTCTGATATACATCAAGTTTTATTTTAGTCATACCAAGAACAGTACAGCAGAATTCAGTGGTGTCATGGCAATCTTTAATCTGATTTTCAGGTCCAGTTTTCCTTATATTTTATCTAAAGGGTTTATACAGGTTGGTAACCGCCAAGAAACATTTTTTCCAAGGACTTGAGAAAATTAGGACTTTTTTCCAAAGTTTTTATTTTCAGGTTTTTTTTCCTGAAACTTTTATTCCCGGGACTTTCTTACATAGATTCATACAGGGTTCCCACCGATACATGTTCCATGTAAAGAAAACCCAATACAATAAAAATATGACGATCCGAAGCTTGCTTTTAGGTTTCTGCATCTAAATTAGTATCTTGATGGTTTATTAAACGATAAAGAAAAATACAAACCAGTTTAGACCTATCAGGAACCCTGAATGGAAGAAAATGGACTAAAATTATTCAAACCGATGTTTTTTTAATGAATGTTAATTTGAATATCAAAAGTTTAAAAACTCTTTAAAAACAATTTGAATATCAAAAGTTTAAAAGCACATTGAAAACAATTAAAATTTTTTTTTTTTTTCAATCTGTTGGAGACATTACAGCTGCAGCGGCGTACAAAGGAATTTTTAAAGGGAGGGAAGCTGAATTTTTTTCTTATCAGGGTGGGGCTCAATAACCGTTGGGGCCTGAAAACCACCAGGAAACTTTGACTGATCCTGGGGTGGGCTGAGCCTTCATAGCCCCCTCCCCCTCTGGAGACAACCTTTATTACAAATCAAAAGAAGAAAATATATGTAGTTGTTAAAGGACACTATAGTTAATGATACATTTAATTGGTATTTAGAATTTTTAGAATTTTACAAATATTTTTATTATCAAAGCATGATTAACTTTTGTGTATTTATTGACCTTATTTTTCATGAATGTTGCAGAGTGTACAGTAGCTACGTCCTGTACACTGAATGGTGTACAAGAACCGGTTCCGGAGGTGTCACTGTGGTTGATTCAGGCAAACACATTGTAAATTTATTTCAGGGATTTCATGATATCTTTATTATTTTACTTTTTTTTATAGAAAAAAGCCATATTTTTATCTTTATTTCAGCAAAAATAAAGCAATCAGAATCCATACTGATTTTGATGCATTGTATTGTCCAATGTGATTTGTACTGTACAGGTAAACAAGCGTTCTCTGAAGGCGGTTCAGTACGAAGCGGTTCAGTACTAGCACACTACCCAGGTCTAACAAGGATTATACATTTACAGGATTAACCACAAAGGACCAGACTTTAATGATGACCTAAAACTTTTTATTAATAACGATCAAAACATTTGATTTGTGGATATGCCATATTAATAGTCTTTAAAAATCTGCTAAACGATTTGTTTAAGAAAAAATAAGTGTACAGCGTAAGAAAAGCTTAAATGTAAGGTCAAAGATTGAATAATTTCCGTATGATTGTTTCTGGAGTCTCGTCCTTAGTGGGTAACCCTGCATGTTTGCATAAAAGTGTACTGCTGTTTCCGGGAGGAATATTAACAAACTCAGCTGCTCAAACCATGCTGTTTTTACATTCTTCAATACTAGAAACTATATAGTACATTTTATATATGGGTTCCGAATCGATGTAAGAAAGTCACAGTAAAAATAAATTTCCGGGTAAAAATACCTGGAAATAAAAATGTTGGTGAAAAAGTACCAATTTTCTGTAGTCCTAGGACAAAATGTCACTGGAAATAAGTCCTGAGTTTTAGATTCCCGGGACTTTTGCTTCCTTAAATAATAAAGCCTCAGGAAAAAAGATCAAAGGAATTAAAGTCTAGAAGAAAATAAATCCAAAGAAAAAAACCAAGAAGAAAAGTCCTAAGTCTTTTGAAAATGAGGTCAAGTCTGAGATGTTTTCATAAAAAGGAATTGTCTTCTATGCATCTGCATATTGAATATACCCCGGGGTGTTTTAATATCAGGCTTTTTTATCCCTGGCTGTAAACATTCTTTGTTCCCATGCATTTTACACTATAACAGGACTTTTATGTATATAACAAAACAAAATTTCTACGTAAATATTTAAACAGCAGGAACTCCCAAAAAATGGGAAAGGGTGGTGAGCAATGGTCCCGTCAAAAATTTACATTTTTACCTATAAAGCCTGTACACTCTAATAATTTCGAAATTCCCCCCCCCCCCGCCTTTAAGCAGTACTCTTATACTCCCTCTTTAAATGGATGAGATTAAAAATATTTTGCCAGTAAATAATAAGTTTACTTGTCAAGCTTAATATTAAGTTACTTAGGAAAGGATTATTAATGCATTAAACAATCTAATCTTTGAAAAGAGAAAATAAATTATTCTTCATGAAAGACTTTGAATAATTTGTTTATGTAATTAGGTATTAGGTTTTGACTTTTGATAATTAAACTTTGAATTCTGTCAGATTAAATATTTTAAGTTTGAAATATCAAAGTTGCATGGATTTATTTTATTTTTGAAAAAAAATTACTTCCTGATAACATTCTGCATGCTTTATTTTTTTGTAAATGTTTGCAACATAATGTCGTTGGATATTTTAAATTTTGACTTCGAGTTTGAAATAGCAAAGGTTGCAAAATGTAAGGATTAGAAAATTAGAGTTTAAGACGCGTTCTTACTGTTCTGTTTCTCTACAGGAAACCCGGTATTATATTTGCATTTACAAATATTGCAAACAATCTCTTAAATATAAACATACAGTGAGCACAAGAAAACTGTAGAGTAGAAAGACGATCTTAAAACAATAATTAAATGTTTTTAAAGGGATTGTTCACGAAAAATGAAAGGGTTTATAGGCTTAGTGCGATAAAAAAGCGCTTTTGATCGCTACTAATCTTATTTCTATCTGTTGCGTCTATAAGGAGAAAATTGTTAAAGACGTCTCATACCGAATAACTTAGCGGCCATACAAATTTAGAAAATTGCAACTACGACTTAGACCGTAAAAAAATCAATTTAATTTCAAACAAATCATTCAGATATTACACCCTATAGTCATCGATTATCTTTCGCCACATTTGTATATAGTTTATATTTTATAATATTTTTTAATTAATTTGTTTATTTCTCTTGTCGCTTGCGCAACTACCTAAGAATGCCGCACACCACTCACAGTTTTCGAAATCCGTTGAAAACGTTTTATAAAGAAAATAAAGTTGTCCCTTTAATCCCTTTAATGTTGTCATAAAGCTAATACTTATGCTGCAGTTAAACGCTAAATGAGCTATAACATCAAAAAAAGTTTTCATCAAATGTCGCCTTGACAATTTTTCAATGGGTTTTATACTATTTTATGTAAATCTCAGTATTTGAGAAAATAAATAAAAAGCCATGAATATTCGGGAACAGCTTTAAAGAGCTCCATATAATCATTTAAGTAAAAAAATTTATCAGAAAGTGAAAATACGATATTTGATGAATTCTATCGATGTATAGCTTATTTAGGGTTTAACTATTGTATCATGTTTAATACTTGTGAAATGGGTCTTTCATTGAAAAATTGCTGCAATTCATGTTCAATGACCTTTTAAAGTCAAACCTTAAAAGTCGTCTTCCTATTCCAGAGTTTTATAGTTCTCAAGGTAGATACATACATTTTACAGTTTTTCTCATTTTTTCTCATTTTTTCTCATACAATGCTTTTGCTTTCAAACAGTCTTTAAATTTATAACAACCAAAAAAGAATAATATTTCTGTTGTGAATTTTGGGATCAAACCTTGATCCTTATATTTAGCAAACCTACTACGGATTAATTTATCCTGTGAATCAGGGATAATTTAAATGAATTGGAATCATGATCCTCTTATTTTAAAGTACCCACATTCGATATTGAGATCAAGCATTCAAAATTATAGATACTCCACGTTCTAAAGTTCCGCTTTCAAATCTTATAAACTTGAAAGGATTTTAACTAAATTCCTTGAAAGCTTGAAATGCTTCTAGTTGTGAAATTTAACCGAAATAAAGGGCTACAAAATCAAATCTGCAAAAAAAAGCTTTAAACGAGATTTTTTCAATATTATTCTATCAAACTAATTGCCAGCATTTCTGTGTGAAAATATCCAATAGATAGAGGAATGAAATATTGCCTCAGGCCACTAGAATTTATTGGTAAAATTTGTCTTCAAGTTATTAAATTGTTCACATTTTCAAAGACAAACTTGAAAATGATTTTGATTTATCCAAAATATGTTTTAATTTCAACTTTTTTGCAATAAAAAAATATCTTTAGGGTAAAATATCAATATCAATATAAATAATTTTAAAAAAACATAGTTGTGACATTTTTTGATTACAATATTCAAAAAATACGAATTCAATTATAATTTCTTCTTTTTCTAATAATTCTTTCGAAGATTTAAAAACTAATCTTCAGAAATTAGAAATGCTAATAAAGGTAGATACGTAGTGTTAACTAAAAATATATCCTAATGTGTGTATACTGTTTGACTAGCCTTAAATTTTAATGATATTAAAATAATCAAACGGCTTTAAATGTAATTATTTTAATATTCGAACATGCTCCCAACATGTTGTCTGTAATAGAGCCACATGACCCAAAGAATGGAAACTGATCACCTGTCTCAAAATCTGACTGAAACCCTACTTTTTTAAGCTATAAATTCTGCAGGAACAGATATTAAATATCAATGATTTTCACCATTAGGGTACACAAATATAAGAACTAGAAAATTGCAGTTTTAGACGAATTAATATCAGTTGTATTTATCAGCACATAAATCTATTCTTAATATATATTCATGTGCGAATATATCAAGAAAAAAATACTTATTTTTGTGTTTATTGCAGGTGGCCCAGTCTCTCCTCGTTTAGCTGTACACACTGTACACACTGTACACAACGAACCGGATCTGCACTCGATCCCTCCCAGTTTTACAGTTATAAATTAGTACATTTAAGTACAGTGCAGTACACAATTATGAACTTAAAAACCGTGATGTTCATTGATTTAATCCAGGATGCTTTTCGATTCTAAATTTAAATATTTGAATGAACGTGTACACTGTACATTGTTCCAGAATGCTCTATAGTAAGAAATAGAATAATGTACAGTGTACACAGTACATTGTAGACATTGCACAGTATGTACATTTAAATACAGTGATGTTCAATCTAATCCAAAATACTTTACACTTTACAGTACATTTTTATGTACAGTATTGTATAGTGTACACACTGAACTGTATGTACATGAACACCGCAATGTTCAATCATCTAATCCAGATATATTGACAGTTTTTACAAAGCATTTGTACTAATTTTTATTGAAAAGTATGTCGTATACAATACTTGGCAGTATATGCTCGGCGATATGTGTAAATGTCCCATGTTAATTAACCACCCCTGTATGTGAATAAATAAAATAAATTATAACGAATAAATTGATAAACTCTAGAATTACAATGTCAGAGCAAAAAATTTGCATGCTAACTTGTTTTCCTATATCAAAAATATCAAATTATTTCCTAAATGGATTTCAAAGATAAAAATATGTTTTTAAAATATTTGAGATTTAATTTTTGGTTTAATGTATAATCTCTAAAATCTTCTCCAATGAAAACCTAAATTAGATTTTAATGATATTTTTAGAATTGATAAATTTAGTAGATTTTACTTCTCAAGAATATATTTTTAATTTGCTCTGCAAAAGAAGAAAAAAAAGTATCATTTCCGATTATTTTTCAACTATTTTTTTTTTGTTATTGATCATATACAAAGCTATAACTAAAACAATTTCTGATGCATCTTGGACATTAAAAAATGCAATCAATACAAAAAAAAATGTTGACTGATTTTTATTTGTAAAAATAAGATTATTTTAGTAAGATTGTTTCCTTGTACCATAGAAAAATACAACTAAAATTCAAACTAAACTGTTTAAAAAATACATACAAAGATAACAAAGTAAAAAAAGACAAATTCATTGAAAACCGGTTTTCAGAAAAAAAAACTGCAATAAAATAGGAAAGCTGTAAAATGCACTGCAGTCGAGTAGGTAAAGGATAAAAATAATTGAATAGGATGGAAAGATAATTAACTATTTATAATATTATTATTTTGGTTTGCAGTTCTTGGACAGAAATTTTCTCTGTATTGAGATTATTTTAGACTATATTTTGTCCCGTCGTGACAAAATAATAGTTTCATAATTAATTTTATGAAATGCACTGATTATTTTTAGATTAATAAATTTTCTGACAAAGCAGAAAAAAAATCTTAAGTAAATTTTATTTTTATTTTTGTTTCAATTGAAAAAAATATTCTGGAAACATCCTAATTATTTTTTATTAAATCCAGGAACCAAGCAAACTTTTATAGCACAGTGCTATAATATATAGCTAATTTTACATTAAAGCAGGATGATTATATACTTAATAACACATTGCTATAATATATAGCTAATTTTACATTAAAGAAGGATGATTATATACTTAATAACACAGTGCTATAATATATACTTAATAACACAGTGCTATAATATATAGCTAATTTTACATTAAAGCAGGATGATTATATACTTAATAACACAGTGCTATAATATATAGCTAATTTTACATTAAAGTAGGATGATTATATACTTATATATTCATCATTTATATTTATCTAAAGCAAAATTACATTAAACAATATAAAAGTTAACAATTTAATACTAATACTCTTTTCTCTGGATATCGCATTTTATGATTGACAGGGTTTTCCAAAAAAAACAGGTGCAATACAAGACTTTTAGCATGAGTATAGTTTAGTTATTCAGAGATGGTTTTCAGAAATGGAGTTTCTTGGTCCCAGTCTAGTGTTTTTCGTTTTCTAAAAATGTGATATGATGACAGCACTGCAAGGCTTGATAGATTTTCGCACATTGCTTTGAAACTAACACCGGGTTTGCAGAACTTATGCAGTTTCTTTAGATTTGCTTTATTTGATGGTGAGATATATCCTCTTGAGCCGATTTCAAAAGGGTTAACAGACACACCCCTAGTTGTTATATCTGTGATAAAATGTTCATACTTGTTCATCTTTATAACTTTATAGCGTGATGATTATATACTTAATAACACGGTGCTATAGCTGTATAGCACGTCAATAATAAAATTCACCATGAAGTAGGTATGAATCATAAAGTACACAATAGTTTCACAAAAGTAAATATGTGGGTTGGTATACCACAGCAATGGCCTTTTATTTACCTAGTAACGTTTTAAATCTTTTGAGACATGTACATTTTAGATTTTCAGTTGTAAAACGTGATTTGTAGAATTTTCATTAATTTTCCTGTATGAGCTATAGAGTATTTTCCTGTATGATCTATAGAGTATTTTCCTGTATGAGATGTAGAGTATTTTCCTGTATGAGCTATAGAGTATTTTCCAGTATGAGCTATAGAGTATTTTCCTGTATGAGCTGTAGAGTATTTTCCTGTATGAGCTATAGAGTATTTTCCTGAATGAGCTATAGAGTATTTTCCAGTATGAGCTATAGAGTATTTTCCTGTATGAGCTGTAGAGTATTTTCCTGTATGGGCTATAGAGTATTTTCCTGTATGAGCTATGAGTATTTTCCTGTATGAGCTATAGAGTATTTTCCTGTATAAGCTATAGAGTATTTTCCTGTATGAGCTATAGAGTATTTTCCTGTATGAGCTATGAGTATTTTCCTGTATGAACTATAGAGTATTTTCCTGTATGAGCTATGAGTATTTTCCTGTATGAGCTGTAGAGTATTTTCCTGTATGGGCTATAGAGTATTTTCCTGTATGAGCTATAGAGTAGTTTCCTGTATGAGATATAGAGTATTTTCCTGTATGGGCTATAGAGTATTTTCCTGTATGAGCTATGAGTATTTTCCTGTATGAGCTATGAGTATTTTCTGCAATAATTTTATTTTAAAGATTGAACCGTCACGGATATTAAATCATGCTAAAAAATATGAGTGTAAGGGACTGTTTACGTTTATTCAAGTATCCTCCATTATCCAGTGACATGTCTGATTTACAACGGTAGCCCTTAACCTTGCAAGCTTTGTATAAATTAGAATGAAAAAGAGATCTGAGCTGAAAACTTTAGAATGGGAAATCCTTAATCCAGATCGATTAATTAATCTAGAGATTAATAACAAGAGTAGAACAAGCATTTTTTAATCTCAAGATTAAGAAAAAGGGTGGATCAAGCACTGATCTCGATATCCACCATTCTAAAGTTTTTAGCTCTGCACGATTTAAAAAATAATTATTATTAATTATAGATTGTAAAAAGAAAAAGAAAAAAGAAATTCACGTCAAAATTGATTATGTTTTACTTCCAGAATGTGGAAATATTACGTTACCTAAACTCTGAAAATTACTTGATATTTTGTTACTGCCTTATTTGCGAAGTTTACACACACGCTCAGCTGATCAGTGGAAAATCAAAACAAGTTTAATATAGGTTCAACTCAAGCCATACACCCAGTGCGAAGTGAGCAGAGGGCCTGATTTAAATTCAGGTGAACTGAAAATATAAAGAGTCAATTCATAGGCGCAATAGGAAACATAAGTGAAGGGGTGGGNNNGGGGTCAAGTAAATGTTTATGAAGTTTTTCAAAGCTATATAGGGTCTACAATATATTTTCAGACTTACATTATTTGGAACAAATACTTGATACTTACGAAACCGTGGAATTCTTAAATCCCAATAATAAACATATTAATCATATACAATGAAACCCTTAATAAGGAATACACCGAAAGAATTCATCAAATGTCGTATTCTTCACTTTCTGATAATGGAATGTTGCAGATATTTAGTTTTTTAATTAAATGATTATATGAAACTCTTTAAAACCGTTCCCGCATATTCTTGGCTATTTATTTATTTTCGCAAATATTGAGATTTACGTAATATAAAACTCACTGAAAAATTCTCAAGATGACATTTGAAATTCTTCCGATGTATTCGTTATTAAGGGTTTCACTGCATTAAATACACAATGGACTTTTGTAGAAAACTCACATTTGAGAATTCTCAGTTTTAAAATTGTAAACGTTATTATTTAATTAATACTTGATCAGGCAAAGCTTTAAATGGTATCTTTGTGAATTTCACATTGACATCTTGAAATTAATTTTATCAAAATAGCTTATGTCGAGTTTTCCATCAAATTTTCTTGTTCGATCATTTTGCTTCATTGGATTCTTTATTACTTTTCTGATATATTTTTTATATAGCTTTCAGTTGATTAGATTTTCATAAAGAAATTATTAGGAAGAATTAAAGGTTTTCAGTGGAAAGTTTTTCTTTTATTGATACGTCTTTAAAACATAAAAGATTTTCATTTGAAATTACGTAGAAAGAGTTTTTAATATATTCAATAACACTAGTTTATTAGTTCATATATAATACAGCACTGTTTAATAATCTGCATATGTTTAAATACTGTAAAAAACAATAATTAACATATTTTTTCAATATTTAATTTATATATAATTCTTTTTAATTCCTTGAACTTTTCCTGGGTTTTCTTTATCCCCCCTCCCCCCCAAAAAAACGACAGAAGGTTGTTTATCAATAAAGTAACAACAATCACCGTTTCTCTACGAATTGTATTCGCATCTTTCTGCTACAAAAACAATGAAGTAGTTCGTTAGAATTAAATACATTTTAAGCTATAAAAACGACAATATGTAAAATTTCCAAAAGATATGAACCTGTATAAAATGATATCAATTTGATAAAAAAAAACTGGATGTGAAGATATAAGTAAATAATAAAACATGCTGAACAAGTAGATCAGGTTAAACTAGGTTCATGATTTAAAGATATTTTTTAGTTTTCTATTCTTAGCCATTTGAAGATTGATTAAAGTTTAAAATTGATTAAAAATTTTCTCAGTCATGATCAGCTGGTGCTAAGAGTAATTTTTTAGGGCTAACAGTGGTACTGTGAGCACCAGAAAACTGTGGAATATGTATACGACTTTTAGACTCGAAATATGATTAAAATAGTCCAAAGAACAGAGACTGCCATTGGGTAGATGTATTAAAGACACGTTAACTTAATTCTATAAAAGCTGGGGGGTCTGAATCTATGTATAGCCTGCTCGTAACCCAAATTTTCAAGGCTAACTCATTTAAAAAAATTAGACCGAAAACTTTAATAGCTTGGATGCTAGAAAGGGTTGAAAAAAAAAACGAAAAAAGGTAAAAAATGTAAAAAATATTTTTTTTTCGTATTAAACAAATATCAAAGTTTGACACATGTTTCTACATCCATTTTTTTCTTTTCCAAAGTATTATTTTTTAGATTTATAGCTTCAGAAACATAATATTTTTGGGCTATTTTAGATTTTTTTACACAGGCCGGACTTTTTAATGCCCTGTACCCTACCCTAGTCATAAAAAAATAAAATTTTACAAAAAATCCTTTCAATTTCTTTTCATTAAAAGTCACAAAATTTCACAATGATGTGTCAAAAATGAGAGTGCTAGGACAAAAAAACTAGAGGTGGGGGGAGTCAAACGCCCGCCCCCCTCTAGTGAATAAGAAATTTTAAACTATAAATAGTAAGATTATTTACTTTTTACAACATAAATTATACGTTAAGATTGATTAAATGTCGTCTTCATATTTCTTAATTTTCTCGTTCTCACTGTATATATTTTCAATTGACTGAATTATGCAAAAATGTTCTTTAATAGATTGGAATGAGCCCTCAGAGACATGGAAACTTTGTACTGGCTTATTGGAGCAGCTGCAATAATAGGTAATAGCTTTAAAAAGTGTACAGAAGCTTCCATATAAGATTCATTTATTTTGTTAAAATTGAAATCTTAAAATTTGCTGGTAGTTATATTGTTTTTCAATTATTTTTTGGATATTTATTTTAAAATATTAACATTTTTTAGGAATAGCTCTCCTGTACTTCTCCTTGTTACGATGTGCACAAAATAATTGGATTGGTACAATACCTCCTGGACCAAAACCAATTCCCTTTCTTGGTAAACAACTGAAGTGAACTGAACTGAACTGAGCTGAGCTGAGCTGAGCTGAGCTGAGCTGATTAGATTGTAGATTGTAGATTGTAGATTGTAGATTGTAGATTGTAGATTGTAGATTGTAGATTGTATACTGTAGATTGTAGACTGTAGATTGTAGATTGTAGATTGTAGACTGTAGATTGTAGACTGTAGATTGTAGATTGTAGACTGTAGACTGTGGATTGTAGATTGTAGACTGTAGATTGTAGATTGTAGACTGTAGAATGTAGACTGTAGATTGTAGATTGTAGATTGTAGACTGTAAATTGTAGATTGTAGATTGTAGATTGTAGATTGTATACTGTAGATTGTGGACTGTAGATTGTATTGTAGATTGTAGACTGTAGATTGTAGATTGTAGACTGTAGAATGTAGACTGTAGATTGTAGATTGTAGATTGTAGATTGTAGATTGTAGATTGTAGATTGTAGATTGTAGATTGTAGATTGTAGATTGTAGATTGTAGATTGTAGACTGTAGATTGTAGATTGTAGATTGTAGACTGTAGACTGTAGACTATATATTGGAGATCGTAAATATTGAACTTTTAATTTTTGAAATTCTTGGAAGAAATTATTTGAAGTTTAATAGATATTAAATTTTATCAAAATATTGTCATTGAGATTTTGTAAAATAGAAAAATATCGATATTAGTTTTCCATAAAAGGATGTATAGCATAAAAAAGATACAAAAACCTAGCAGAAACTCTAAAATTTAAATATATTTTAGCTATAATTGTGAAAAATTTAACAAAATAAACATATTTTCTGTCAAACAAAAATTTCGACAAAAATCAAACCTAAAAGTGATTTTTAAATAAGTTTTTATTTAACTAATATTTTTTGTATATTTTTGATCAGGCATTATTAAACTCCTACGAGAAGAAACAGATTTTAATAACTACGATAAGGTGATAATTATAACCATGCATTCTTTTGTACAGTAGTCCCAGGATAAAAGGGGTAAAGCAATATAATAATCTTAAAGTGATTTTATGTGAACAATTTTTTAAACTTTATCATTATTAAGGTTTAATCATTTTCATTTATATTATCATTCTTTTTTCTTATAATTTTTATACAGTTAAACCCTAAATAAGCCATCGAAAGATGTCTTATTCTTCACTTTCTGATAATGGAATGTTGCAGATATTTAGTTTTTTAATTAAATGAATATATGGATCTCTTTAAAACTGTTCCCGTATATACATGGCTATTTATTTATTTTCGCAAACACTGAGATGTACGTAAAACAGCACAAGACGACATTTGATAAATTCTTTCGAGATATGGCTCATTTAGGATTTAACTAGCAAAATATTCCAAAAGCAAATCATTGTTTTGAAATCGTCGGTAATTCCGCATATTTGTGGGGACCACTGCAACCTTCAAACATTAAAAATCTAAGTATTTGATCTAAGAAAAAAGTTTTCAATGTATGTCACAAGATTATATTTCTTCTGCAGCAAAGTATGAAATGTTTGTAATATTTCAACATTAGGAAAAAGTAAAATATTTTCTTTATTTTCTCCTGTCTTGTCACATTTTCTTCTAAATATTCTCCTAGTAATGTAAATTCAATTAACATTTTGAAATTTTGAATTTTTTTATTTTTCTAGAGATTTTGTTACTGTTCTGCGAAACTTTGGACTACCAAGGTGATTTTAAAATAGACTGTCAACTTACAGGGAGTGTTCGCGAAAAATGAAAGGACGAAAAATTAGCGATTTTGATCGCTACTAATCTGACTTCTATCTGTTGCGTCTATAAGGAGAAAATTGTTAAAAACGACTCATGCTGAAGAACGTAGCGTCCATACAAATTCAGAAAGTTGCGATATTCACCTCGGATCGTAAAAAGATAAATTAAAGTCCAAACAAATCATTCAGATATTACAACCAATAGTCATCGATAATTTTTTTACGCATTCGTATATAGTTGGTATTTAATAATAATTTTTTATTTTTATGATCTGAGAGATACTTTTGAAAACATCTATTCCTGTTTCGAGGATTTTTGATAATGAAGACGACATTTTCATATTTTCTAGGAATGTTCGAAAATCCAGCGCCAGAGAAACATTATTTAAAAAAAAAAATCAAAAAATATTATGAAATGTTAACTATATACGAATACGTCGAAAATAAAACGATGACTATTGTTTGTAATATCTGAATTATTTGTTAATAATTAAACTGATTATTTTACGATCCGAGTTGAATGTTGCAACTTTCCGAATTTGTATGGACACTACGTTCTTCGGCATGAGTCGTTTTTAACAATTTATTCCTTATAGACGCAACAGATAGAAGTAAGATTAGTAGCGATCAAAAGCGCTTAATTTTCGCCGTAAGCCTATACCCCCTTTCATTTTTCGCGAACACTCCCTTTAAGTTCTTAACACTTTCTCTCTTTTCTCTGTTGTATAAATCCGCAACTGTCATTCATACAAAGAATATTATTAGTTAGAACATCGTCAATGGTTTAACAAGGGTACCGTTGTGATTCAGACATGCCATTGTACCGCCGGGCCGGCTTGTATGCAGTTCGAGCTAGCTTTCCGTACAGTACATATATAGCGTAGACAGTCAAACATTCTTATTTTTTCAAAATTATTATTTCTTATTTCAAAATAAAATCATAAAAGAGGAATTTAAACCTGAAATGGAATCCCTATGGTATTAAAACTTCTTGTAAAAATGTATTTAAAAAACTTTAAATAATCTTTTTATCCTTTCTTTAGGTTTAAGAAAAGAGAGATTGCCTTTATCAGTCTAATCTGGAAAAATCACGCTTCCTCCTTCTTCAAAGGCATGTTTTAATTTAATCTTTTTTTCTACAATTTCCCCTGAAGAATGTACTCTTTTAAACAGTCAGAACATTTTAATAGCACAATATAAAAACTATTTCAAAATTCTACACGCTTCAAATTTTGTTGAAAGTGCTAATATCTCATATATTAAATTTCTAAGGAATTAATTAAGAGAAAATTTTATTTTTAATTCTTTACAGAGGAATTTTGAAGTGACGTTTTTTTATTAAGTTATTTTATAATTTCTTTTTATATTGTTTTCTCCTTTAATTTGATCGAGGTTTAACCTTATAAAGCCTAGGAGGTCTAAATCTAACCTAAATCTAGCCTAAGTTATTTAGGCTCCTCTGGGTTATTACAGTTTTCAGATTGGTTGGCTGTTTGCTGAATATGATCTTTTTAAAACTTAGATTATTATACCAAATCACATATATATATAACAGTTTTATATATATTTCTCGAGACAGGAACATCAAATTGAACTCTTTTAGGTCTCGATTAAATCCTAATGTGATTCAGCCCCCTTACAGTTTCCTTAACAGTCCCTTTAATGAGGAAACAGTTAATATGTTTTGCCAGAGTAACAATTGTGTAATTATTTGATAAAAGCAAACTTATCAAGCATTAAATTTTGAAATATGATTGAAAATCTCGAATTGTTTTAAAAATCCATTAGCCCTGAATGTTTAAAAACGGAATTCAATAAGATGCCTATAAGTATAGATGCAGTTATACAATGCAGCTACAACTGCGCTATACACAATTTAATGCCTTATAAAGGGTATGGGACAACGCCAAGTACTTTTTGTATTGTAGGCATAATCCCAATTTCCCGAAAGTAAATTCAAATGTTTCTCAAATATCAAATTAATCCAAGAATAGTTGATATCTAATCTAAATTTTTCAAAAACCAAAAGGATTAAGAACACTCTTAAAAACACGTTTTTTCATCTTTAATTTATTTTACCTTAATCAATCGTTTCTAAGCTTTTTTAATTCTTTTTATAAAAATCTTAGCTATATTGAATATAAAATTAGCACTTTATATTGAAGATAATTTAGTTGGAGGATTTTACAGACTTTTCTTTGAATATACATTACCATAGAAATGCAGTTTAGATATATTTTCTTATTTTCAGCAGAACATTTTAAATTGCAAAACGTGTTTTTGGACAATATCGCTATTTTTTTGGTCAAACATTTTTTTCTAAAAATCTATAAAATTATTATTATTTCAGATGATTATTTAATAATTAATAAAAGGCTAGTTGAACACTTACAGTAATAGTGATAAAAGTAATAGAACATTTATTTTATAATTGTTGTAATTTCATTAAATTATTACAGATGTGCTCTCAGATCTAAGATTGGTGCATCAAATTGCTAAAAAGGTAAAATTTTAATTTAACACTTTAAAGGAAGGACTATAGGGTCACAGGATTAGACAGGATAGGACAGGATAGGACAGGATAGGACAGGATAGAACAGGATAGGACAGGATAGGACAGGATAGGACAGGATAGAACAGGATAGAACAGGATAGGATAGGATAGGATAGGATAGGACAGGATAGGACAGGATAGGACAGGATAGGACAGGATAGGACAGGATAGGACAGGAGAGGACAGGATAGGACAGGACAGGACAGGATAAGACAGGATAGAACAGGATAGGATATGATAGGACAGGATAGGACAGGATAGAACAGGATAGGACAGGAGAGGACAGGATAGGACAGGATTTGACATGATAGGCCAGGGTAGGGCATGATAGGACAGGATAGGACAGGATTTGACAGGATAGGGTTTTTTGTTGGTATTCTTGTTAAAATGATATTTTTTTCAACCCGCGTGAATATGTATTTTTTTCTTGTTAGCCTATTATGTATTTCACGAACCATCAATCATCCTGATCAGATATTTATCAATATCTCAACAAAAGTTTAATATCTTATATTGGCTATTTTTAAAGATTTACGTCAATTTCAACAATAAGGGAACAAAACCTGTTTATTCTGCGTGGATGAATACTGCTGAAAGGGACTGTACGCGTGAGGTTAAATGACCCTCCATGCAAAGATGACAATTCTAGATCTCTTAAAAGCTTTGTCTGAATGATGAAGTATGAATTAGATGGCATCTATATATTTATTTATTTATTCTTTTTATTCCTAC